AAATGACTGGGCAGGTAGAGTTGTATCCCACTACAGACAGCATTGCCAGAAACTCGATGGGTTAACTGTAAACACCATCAGCCAAGTGACTGATGGTGTCATATCCCATTACAGGGAGCACTGAACATAGACAGGAATTCTAAACATGTGAGGGTAGTGGACACTGAAGTGACAGAAGTGTAGAAAAACAGAGATTCTGTCTCTAGCAGGACTCAGCCTTCATCTGGTAGAAGGATAACTTCAGTCTCTCATGAAGTCTAGATCTTTAACGTTATCAGTTATAAAGGGATTAGCCAACAACTATTAGAAAGTGGTTTCTTATAGGTATGTGCTTTCCTTGTTTTTCATGTAACAAAAAGGCCACAAAATAGGCAGTCAACGCTGCTGTGATGTTGCAAAGATATCACCATGACTTGGTTCCTTCTGTCTTCCTGTTTTTCCATCCTTACCAGGAATTGTGGTCCTTGTGGTCATATGATGGAGGCCATATCTGCAGGCAGGCAGGAAGAAGAGGAAATGGCAAATATAATGGGAAAAGGGGAGTGCAAGGAAAATAGGTCATTAAAAAAATTCCAAAAAGCCTCACCCATTTAATTCCTGTTCACACAAACTGGCAAGAACAAAGTTCACAAGGCCAGTTCTAATCGCAAGTTCTTTGTGAAGCAATAATTGCAGCTATGCAAATTGCCGCGGCAAACAACAAGGAAGGTAAGTTTGCAGGAAAGGAAAAATAGATGTATGTGATACATCTTTCTTTAGGCATTTGGTTCAAGAGGTAGTCTTGGAGATTTGAAATATTTTCCTCATATCTATCTTGGTTACTTTTGTCATTGCTAAGACTAAATACCTGACACACAAGGTTAAAGGAGGGAAGGCTCATTTTGGCTCATAGTTTGTCGAGGTTTCAGTCCATAGTTGGCTGGTTCCAAGGCAGAGTTGCATGGCAGAGGAGCATCATAGTGGAGAAAGAGTTCATGGCAGGCAGAAGGCAGGAAGGCAGCAAAGCAGTGAAGTAGCAAGCAGCAAGTGATGAGAGCAGCATCTTTCTGTCCCTTATCTTCTACAGAGGCTACATGCCCTTGGGGAGTGGTTAGCACTCATAAGCAGGTGGGCCTTCCCATTATCTACACCCAAACCAATCAATGGATTAATTTAGTAGTCACACACCCTTAACCCCAGCATCACACATTTAATCCCAGCATCACATACTCTGGACCGCCCCATCTAAGACTCAGTGATTCTTTTGTGACATCTAGACACAAGTTATAACAATATTTTTTAAAATATGTATTAATGTGGGACACTTGAATGTGTGTGTGTGTGTGTGTGTGTGTGTGTGTGTGTAAGGAACCATATTTTAGGAAGTTTTTTTATATTTTAGGAAGTTTGGAAAAGCTATACTAAGAGATGCTAGTCAGATGGCATTTTAAACTAATCATTCATAATATAGGTTTGAATTCAGTGTTTTTATTCTTTCTTTGATCTAAACAGCATATTTTAAGCTTTACTTAGCAGACTTTGTTATAAAGTGCATTCTTATTTCTGCTTTTATTACCTCTTGTCTTGTTTAGTTTGTTTATGGAATAGCTTCTGACTGCTGTTTCCTAGCATGCCTTCTCTAATTTTAAACGTAGTAAGCCTACTGATTTATACATATAAATTCTGATAGCTCCACTGTCTCATGTTTTTTAATGTTTATTTTGTATTTTCCCTGCATATCTTTATTTTTAATTGTTTTTATTTTATTAGCACATCCCTTTGATAAGGCAAGTTCATATTTTTGCTGTTTTTGGTGAGATGGTTGGTCCAAATTTCTTACATGACATCAGAAGTTAAGGTACTACTTCTCTATGACTAGTCCATTTTTCTTTTCTTCCTCTCTATCTCCTTCTTTTTCTCCACCTTTTCCAGTTTTTTTAGCATTCTTCAATTTTCCAGTCCCATTATTTCCAACCATTTATGGTTATTGTATATATATATATATATATATAATAATTTATTTTTATTTTGTAATTGCAGTTGTAATTAGCATGTTGTATATTATTCTTTAAAGGTAAGTATATGTTGTAAAGAGTTATAACTTTATATGCAATGTCATATCAACTCTTGAACTTTCAAGGCATAGTCTTTCATATCTCAGTTATGTTCCCTTGTACATTAATTTACTCTCTTAACTCTCATTTTCTTTATCTCATTCACAACTATAATGAAAATATTTTCTTCCTAGGATTGCTTTGAGAATTAAATAAACAGTATTTTTAAATCCATTAACCACAGTTTTTAGAGACTCAATACAAGTACTTGTAATTACTGTTAGCATTTTTATTAATTACATATTAGACAGACAAACCTACATACATTTATTGTTGTAAAATTTTCTTTCATTTTAAATACTTTAAACATATTTCTTGATATTTCATATTTCTGTCTCTTATTTAATAAACATACAAATGGCATTTTATATAAATTCTGAGTTAAAGTACATCAGTGGCTTACATGCATAAACTATAGTTAATTATAAGTATTAATTAATATCAGTTACTTGAGTAAGAAATTCAGTAATATGATTCTAAATTTAAAATGTATAAAAAGAGGTACAGCAGTAAATCTTCCCTGACCACTTACTCCGCCATCCCACAATTTTCTGCTTCCAATATCATTAAATATATTATTTTATATATTATAATTACATCTATTTATATATTTTCTTCTTTCCCTATAGTTACACAAAAAATCCATACTATACACACTCGCCTGCCTCTTTTAACAATAGCTGACAATTGTGTAAGTATAGGTTAGTTTGTTCATGTTTAAAAAGAAGAACTCAAGCTACTCTGGTCAACATCCTTGATTCTTCTTTTATTCTCACTCTGAATAGCTAAGCTGTCATCACGTAGTATCACTCTAAATACATCTTTAATCCATTGATTTCCCCTCTTCTGACCACTGTCAGTTCAGATCATCAGTCTCCCGTACAATTCATTCTCCTCCAAGAGGCTAAGGAGGGTCTTTCTAAAAGCATATAAATCAGATGAAGCACTTAAAATCATCCAACGGTTTTTCTTTGTATTAAAAAAATGTACTCAAATCTACAAGACAGTAGATGCTGACTGGATCCAGTAGATTCTGGACACTGACTGGTCTCATCTTTTCTAGTCTCCTTTTTACTCAGATCTTATAGCTATATCGGTGTTTCTCGTCCTTGAACAAGCCAGGCCCTTTCTTCACTCATGTTTTATGTCCCCATTGTCCTCCATTCCTAGAATTTTCTTCCCTCTGGTGTCTGTGCTGCTTGCTTCCTGTCATTTAGCTCCCATGTAAAGTTCTCCCCAGAGAGGCCTTCTCTGAAAACAACCTAAGTCTGAAACCCAGTCTCTATTCCCTCAACCTGTTATTATCATCAAAGCACTAATGTGTCCATTATTTTCTTTATTGGACACTTATTTTGATATTTTGTTTGTTAGTTGGATGATTGGTTGGCCATTTCATGAGATTATAAGCTCTGTGAAAGTAAGAAATTTCTTTATTACTATTTCTCCAGAGCAGGCATTGACTTGCAAGCGACTGGTAAATGTCAGTAAATTACTGGTGAAGAAAAAGGTAAACAGCATACCCAGAATTGTATCTTGGGAACTGCAAGTGGAAGAGAACAAGAAAAGAGAGTTTATTAGCATCATTTCTTAAATATTGGTGCTTTCCAGGATCCTTAGTCTCTTTTCTCTACATTCCTGACACATATACTTCCTAAATGTTTCATGTCCTCCTATGCCTGTAATTACTACTTCCAGATGTAGATGCTGTCACACTATATCTCCAGGCTAAACTCTCAGGACTATTCCAAAGCCAGGCTCGCTTTCTTTCACTTCAAAGGCAAGGAAGTACATAGTTTCTAATTGCCCTGCATTAGGTATCTTGATGTTCATAACACTTGTATGATAATAGATGCCACTTTCTTTTGTTTTTTAGATGGGGTTCAGGTCTTAACAAATTTTTAAATTCTGAAGTCCTCTAATATGCTCTACTTATACTTTCTATAAGGTGAAGGAGCTCTGCACACAGAAGGAAATAAACAAATCAGTTACAGATCTACTGAGATAAGTGATATCACAGGCTTAAAAGGTTTTGGCTCTATTTCATCTGTTTGGATAAGGAAAAATGATGCTCTTGTGCTAATGAAAACTATAGAGGAGATTGGAAAGGTTAGCAGAAAAGAAACTGCAGCACAGCAGGTGTGCAAAAGAGGATGATTGTGCGTTGTCCTGAATGACAGCTTCTGCCTTGGTGGCCTCAAACCTGTGAACTTCCTCCTTCAGCCTCCCACATAGTTGAGATTATAGGTGTGTGCCACTGTGCCTGACAACAGCTACTTTTTTGAGATTCCTTTTCTAGGATGGCCAACAGTTTTGCCTCCATCAGTATTAGGAGTATTCGTTGAGTCCCTGTGATGGGTGACTTTCATTGTGTTATATCATAGGCTTGCTGGATATTAAGTGATGAATTAGACAAACAAAATCTCAGCTTTCTGAAAACTTATGCTCTCCTGGAGGTAAACAGGTAATAACCAAACAACCTAAATTGTCATTCAATATGGTAGAAGTTACCCTAGGAGGACTTGTGTGAGGAATAACTGCACCACATACATAGCAGTATAAATAGTGGTATAAGAAGTATGACTTTACTTCTCTTCTTCTTTCCACAGTGGTAATTGTCTGAAAAAAAAGTTTTAAATAATGGTGTGAGAGGAAGAATGTAAGGGCGTTGTGTGTCTTAGCTCAGACAGAGACTGCACCAAGTAGAAAGCAGACATGAGAAAGAGAAGTGAGAGAAGCCTTATGAAAAGCAGAGGCAGTTGCAGTTTTCCCAGTGTTGTCCGTTGCCGCAGCCTGGTTACATTTACCTACTGCCTGGGTCACCATGACATTAACCTGTGAACATTTTTTAGTGTTGACTAGCCCGACCTATTGCTTCAAGGCTGCGTAAATTGTACTCACAATACCTACTTTGGTTATAAAAATGACACCTGGCCCACTCCAGGCTATCTCTTCTTCGCAGAGATTTTCCCAGAAGCCTGCACATCAGGTGGTCTGAGAAGTCATCCTGCCCGTGTAACTCTGAACACTGCTAAGCATAAAAAAAGGAGTGCTAAAATCTGATATAATAGAAATGTCAGAGAAATACTTCTTTTCAAATTCACTCTCATGTTTGATTTAGGATTGAATAGACTGTTAAGACCTAGTTTTGTTACTACAATTCAGGTCAAGATGTATAAATGTGAGTGAGTCAAAAAACCAGCGCGACCTGAGGAGTGTCTCATCAATTGTCTTGTACGCTATAGAGACCAAAAGCTTACTATGCCACAATGTTTTAGTTCTTTTCACTTATCTATTTGAAGCACGTACACTATTTGATGTTGAGATTTTTTTATATTCAACTGCAAGGCTGAGAAAACAGAGGGAACGTGTTGTTCTGTACTTTTCAATGGACTTATGGCTTTGGATAAATATTTCTTATATTATGTCTAACCAATAGAAATATACATTAATGTTTTAAAATTATAGAAATATGGCACTATAGTCACCAGTATTAAAAGTAATAATCACTGAAACATTTTTATAACATTTTAAAATTTGGACCTTTAAGACATCTTGAATAACATGCCCAAAAAACAAGAATAATGTCTGATGGGAGTATATATATATTTGTGTATGCATACATTTTCTTCTAGTATTACATACATAAAATGTTTATATACAAAGCATTTAGATGTTACAAACGTTTCTATATTTTGATTGATAATTTTTTTGTCTCTTTAGATTTGCACCTAAGGCAAGTGTCTCACTCACTTGACTTGCTGTGAGCTAATCTGTCCGTTGGCAGTTGGGAAGCTGTCCAATGACTCTACTCCCCCGCCAAGCAGGAAGTACTTTTTCCAACAGAGTTCTGATACTGCGTCTTGGTTTCTACCACAGGAAGTGACACTCCCAATGGCAGGTTCTTTTTCACCCCACGTCCCTGAATGAGTCTGAAGTGAAAGTGACCTCTAGTCAGCCTGCAGAATGAGAGCTAAACCTTTCCTATTATAACTCCCTGAGATCTGGGGGCTTATTATTTATTTTTACTTAGGCTATCTTGACTTATACAGAAATTGGTACTCAAAGTAGGATATAATCATAATATTCTGTTGTAATATTATGATATCTACTTTTTGGTTTTGTTCACACTTGCTGGGTCATAATGTAGCCAGAAATAGTTATTTTTTAAATAATTAGGACAACAAATATTTAGCCTTGTACCAGTAGCTCCTAAAGCAGCTTCAGAACAGCTTCGGAGTGATGCAGGTGAATGACGATTTTTCTTATAATGTTAGGACCTATCGGGCTCAAGCAAACCCCAGGAAGCAAAATCTCTCTCTGGTCCTCAGCATTTTTACACCTGCTCCTTTTTCTCCTCAAAGTAAGCCATAGCACAGAAGATAGAATTTCTCTTCTCTAAGGCAAATCATGGGAACTAATCTTCACCCACCTGTGTGTAAGGCCCAACCATAAAAAAATTCTCTGAATTACCTTGCCTGATAGTAGCTCGTAAGACCCTAGTTTCAGGAGGAGACCTGCCCCACCCCCAGAAGGAAGGAGTGCCGCACAGAGAGGCCAAGAAGGACCTGAATAGATGTGTCTTGCTGAGTTTCCCCAGGCATCTGCTCACATCAGATCACACCCTTTCTGACCTATCACATTTCTATATAGTTGTCCACACCTCTCTGAGCTGATGCAGAGAGGTCTCTAGAACTCCAGAAGCACAAGGTTTGTAGAGCTTCCCAGTGGGTGAATACGTGGAGAATCCTAGAGGATAGTACACCTGGTCGGGGCGGGGGAGCTCTGCCTTTCCCGTTACCTCACCTCTTCAACGTTTCCTCTGTGCACTTTGTGATACCCTCTATAATAAACCAGCAAATATAGCATTCCCTGACTCATGTCAGTTGCTTAAGCAAATTAACTGAATCTGAGGAAAAGGTTGTGGGAACCCCACTTGGTAGCTGGTCAGTCAGATTTGTGATAGCCCTCAACCTGTGGGGTCTGATACTCTCTCCAGGTTATACTGTTAGAATTGAATTGGCTTAGAGGATGTGCAGCTGGCTTCTGCTGCAGAAGCAGTTGCTTTCTTGGTAGGGAGAAGTCCCTACACATTTTGGGATCAAAGAATTGGTCTACGTTCCAAGCATAAAATGGGAGAAGTTGAATTTGAGATTTGCTACTATATAATCAGAGATACCTAACAACAACCTAAAATATATAAAGCATTTGACATTAGAATAGTTATCAAGATATAGATACTAAGGAAATTTCTATCACAGGCTGGAAAGATTGCGATCCGTTCTATGTAGTAGCAGAATGGTTAAATTAGATCCTTTGGTTTCTTTGGTTTTTTGTTTGTTTGTTTGTTTTTCAGAGAAAGATCTTATACCTAATACACTTCTTGACAAAGAAGGTTCAGAAGATTTTTTTTGTAGTGTATGTTGATTGTATACTGTGCCTGTTTTTGGTCAAAACATACATCCTTTAAATAAAAGCCACGCATGCTCCCAAAATTACCAGTTTACCAGCCAGGATGAAGCGGGTCCAGTACTTGTAATATTTTCTTTTTTTTTTTTCTTGGTACCGGGAATCAAACTCACAACCTTGCCCTTGCCAGGCAGTTGCTTGTGCCGCTGAGCTACATCCCCAACCCAACTTGTAATATTTTCAATCAGAAGCATTAAAAGACAAAGTTGAGAAAAATCACAAAACACAAAGTATGACTAAAATCTTGACATTCCAGCAAGAGCCAACTTTGGGATACATATATTAGCTAGATTTCAGTTGCTGGCCCAAAATATCTGATGATTGTAGCTTAAAGAAGGGTGGTTTAAAGATAAGAAAGAAGTTAAATTATTGTTCTTTGCAGGTGACATGGTAATCTACACAGAAGATCCCAAAACTGCACCAAAAGAGTTCTAAATTGAATAACCAAATTCAGTAGTGTAGCTGGATACAAAGTCAACACTCAAAACTCAATAGCAATCCTGTGTACAAAGAGTAAACACACTGAGAGAGAAGCATCCAAATAGCATCCAAGTAAATGAAATACTCAGGAATCAATCTAACAAAGTAAAAGACCTATACATTAAAATTGACAGTAAAACGAGATCAAAGAGGATATCAGAAAATGGAAAAATATCCCTTGCTCATGGGTGGGATGAACCAGCCTAGTGAAAATGACCATACTCCCAAAACTGTTACACAGATTTAATGCAATTCCAATCAAATACCATTAGCATACCACACAGAACTAGAGAAAACATTACTAAAATTCATTCAGAACCAGAAGAGACCCAGAATAGCAAAAAAATCCTAGGCAACAAAGGCAAGGCAGTGGTCATCACAATTCCTGACTTGAAATTGTACTACAGAGCTACTGACAAAGACAGCATGATACGGGCACCCCTGCCCCCCGCAAAAGAAAAAACACCTGAGGATCAGTGGAATAGATTAGAAGATGCAGAAAAAAATCCAAACACACTGATCCACCTTATCTTTGGCCAAGGTGCAAAATACCTTCACTGGAAGAAAAATAACCTCTTCATAAGTGACATGGGAAAAACTGGCTTTCCACATGCCAAAAACTAAAACTAGACCCATTCCTCTTACTGTGCACAAAACTAAAACTGAAATGGATCAAAGATCTAAATATTAAAATGAAATACTAAATCTGCTGGGAGAGTGAATAGGTAGACCTCTTGAAGACGTAGATGTAGGCAAAGATTTCATGAACCAAACCTGATAGCATGGGAAATATTAGAAAGAATCAATAACTAGGATCTCATCCTATTTAAAAGCTTTTGCACCGCAAAAGAAATTACCAATAGAGAGAAAAGATAACACACAGAGTGGGAAAAAATTAAAGCCAGTTGTCCCTCAGACAAAGGACTAATATCTAGAACATACAAAGAATTGAAAAACATGAACCCCCCCAATTAAAGATCTGGTCCAAAAATGGGCATCTGAGATGAATACACACTTCTTAGAGGAAGAAATACAAATGGCAAATAAATATATAAAAAATATTAAATATCACTGGTCATTCAAGAGAGCAAATTAAAACAACACTGATATTCCATCTCACCCCAAAAAGAATGGTTATCATCACGAAATCAACCATTAACAAATGCTGGCAAGGTTGTGAGGGAAAAGAAACCCTTCCCTGCTGCTGGTGGGAGTGTAGACTGGTGCAACCACTATGGAAATTAGTGTGGAGACTCCTCAAAAAAGTAGGATTAGAGGTCCCATTTGACCCAGCTATTCCCCTTCTTGGTATCTTCCCAAAAGAATTAAAAACACAATGCCACAGTGATATATGCACACTCATGCTTGTAGTAGCACAGATTGTAATAGCTAAATCCTGGAAACAACCCAAATGCCCATCAACTGAAGAATGGATAAACAGTTATGGTTTTATAATACAATGGAGTACTACTCTGCCATAAAGAAGTATAAAGTTGGGACATTTCTAGCTAAATGGATGCAGTTTGAGATCATACCCTTAAGTGAAATAAACTGGACAAGTGTGTAAATATTGCATTGTCTCTCTGATGTGAGAAACTGAAAGTGTAAATAAGCACCAAAGTGTTTAACATGAATTGTGAAATAGGAAGAAATTGTTCAAAAGAAAGGGGAACTAGGAAGGAGTAGGGAAACAAGGGAAAAGAAAAAAAAGATAAAAGAAGGATAAACTGTAGAAATACTTTGTAAATGAGGAGCGGAAGAGGAGTTAAAGGGAGGGGAAGGGATTGAGGGAAAAAAGAGGAATCAAGATATATCATATACAGGCACAAATTCCCTATGATGAATATGATCACTACGTACATCTAAACTGCAGTAATAAACCTAATTTTTAAAAAAATATTTTAATTTACCTCACAGTTTCAGCGGTTTCCGTCTAAGTTTGAAGGCTCCAAGACAGAAACATTAAGGAGCAAGGGTTTGTGGAGCAAAGCACAGGGAGTGAGCACCAGCAAGAGAAGTACCTTCCAAAGGCTGTGCCCCAGGACGTACCTCCAGCGGAGACCCACCTAACGGCACATTGAGCTGTGAACATCAGCGCGTTAATCCTCCGACGATTACAGCACCCCAAGACCTAACAGCCTCTCCAGGAGTCTCCTCATCCAGTCAGGCTGACAAGAGCTATTAGTGGATATCATCACACCCATCGCTAACCTGCCTCAAAGCATAGATTGTGGAGGTGTTTATTGTAGCTTCTAGGTTAATAATCACATTCCTTAGCACTTTAAAGATATTATTGTCCACGTTGGGCTTCTTTTGCTGCTGTTGAGAATGGAAGCCAAATATCTTTCCTTTTAGACAATGTGTCTTCTTTTTATGTGGGCTTTTATGATCTTCTCTTTGTTTTCATTGCTCAGAAATTTGATTTTTGTATATTTAAATATTTTTTGTTTATATCTATCCTTTTTCCACTTTGTACCAATGAATTTATTCTCAATCATCTCTTCAAATACTGCTCCTTCTATATTTTCTGTTATTATCTTCTGGATTTGAAACTCGATATCTGTTAGGCCATATTCTATCTTTTAGGTTGTTTGACCACTATTTTATATTCTTTTTTCTTTTACACTTCTAGACTCCATTCTGAATAACAAAATTTTAGATGTTTTCCAGTTAGCTAATTTTCTACAAGTTATTCTCTAAACAATTGCATTTTAAATTCTAATAATTATATTTTCATTTCTAGACAATCTTTTGGTAGATTGTCAAATATACATGGCTATTTTTGATAGTATATTATTCCTTGTTTATTTTTTTGGACTCTAAGCTTTATTTTTAAACACACTAAATGTACTTACTTTACATTGCTCATTTTCAGATTTCAGTATTTCTAGTCCTAGGGATTCTGAGTTTATTATTTGTTATTTTTACTTGCTCTTTCTTCGTGGGGCTACTTATTCACATGTTTGAGGTTTTTTAAAACTGTTATGAGAACATAAGCAGTTCACCTTACACCTGGAAGTTCAAGACTGGCAGCCATATCTGGGGAGGGTCTCCCTGCATCATCATGTGGCAGATAGGGCCAGAGGGTGGACAGTGGGCATTTGCAGAAGAGAGGGAGGGGGACACGTGTTGACCCACTTGCTCTCCCAAGAACTACTAAATTCTTTTGAGAGCAAATCTAATCTCTCAGAAAAGACGTGAGGTACTTGACAGGCCATGCCTCGCAACCTGGGTTCATTGACAAGCAAACCTCAACACAAGGTTTTCTCAGGGACAAATAATATCCAAACCATGTCAAAGGGTTTAGTGTGTTTCTGACAGGGGCAACTATCAAACTGGAGCAACTCTGATTTAATCTCTATGTGGAAATTTTCTGTAGTTTAATTTTATACAATTGGTATTAAAATTTTAAGATTATATAAAACTGTAACATTTGTATATCTTTCACTAAGAATTTCTAATTTTTACCATTTTTACCACATTTCAT